TAAATTTAAATCAAATTTAAATCAAAAAACTTAATTTTTTATAAATTATAGATGTTGAAATTAAATTATAAATACATGAAATCTATTATTTTTGTTTATTTTTTTAAAATTTTGATGGTGATATAAATTTTAAATTTTTTAAAACTTGATATTACATATATCGATATTTATGTTTATAAGTAAACACATTTTTATATAAAATGAGTGTTTTGACTTAAACTACAATCTCGCTATTTTGTATTTAAAATTGGACCCCCCTGAGTAAAAAACCTAGATCCGTCACTGTTGGCCTCAGCATACAAATTCTGTTATTGTATGTTACAATCACGTAGAAGATAAGTTGAAAATCATGAGTTTGAGTTGAAAAAAAGAAAAAGAAAAAAAAAAAGGTGTAAATTGTATTCTTATCGGTTTGTTGTTGTTCCTTTCAAAGTAATTAAAAAAAAATAAATAAATAAATAAATAAATAAATAAATAAAAAAGAAGAAGAAGAAACAGAACTGCTATTTTGCACTAACAGCCTCTAAGGGCTCTAATGCCACTTATTCAATTTCTGTTTCAACTGATTAATCATTCTCAATTGGGTAATTTTACACTCATAAACACATAACTGTATATTTATCCTCTTCACATATCATATTGATCTGAATTCTGATGCTTGAATATCACATCACCTCTTTTCATCTATTATCTTACTGATCAGAATTATTACCATTTATCTCCAGATAGATTTCGAGCTGGTCCTTTTTTCCATTCATGAAACCAAAAGACAATGAAAACCCCGTTCTTCCTCAAGCTATATATAATGACCTTCATTTGCACATGCGTGTGCTACATAGAACGTGTCGGCTTCTCCCGGGCTTGCTCTGTATTTTTAGCTCGTTTGTGTTTGTTGTGATTTCCACTGGGGAGAGGATTTTTGACTGAGTTAAAGGATATTAATCATTGATTTACTTTTGCAGTCTCTCATGGGCTTGCACTGGCTCAATTGCTAATACCGCAGGAATCAAAAAATATCTTGTATAAAAGAAATTTGCACAGGTTTAAAGAAATTTGCACAGGTGTAAATATAAGATACTTGTACACAAAAAATAAGTAAAGAAATTTATATTCTTATAATAGACTGACAAAAAATTTAAATATACAAATAATAATTTAAAAATAAAGAAAGTTAATTAGTTTAAATAGTACCTATATATTACACTCGATTTGTCAAGATGATATTTTTTTAATATCACACACATACATAATGTATATATACATATAAATATATAAATATATATATATATATATATATAACTCAATAATTTAATTTTGAATTAGTTTATTTTTTTTTTCGAGTTTTTTTTTTCCTTCAGTCTGTTATTTTTTTAATTATCTTTTATGATATAATGTGTATGAGTGTAATACTTATAAACTTTATAAAATATAAAAATTATTTTTATTATTTTTAATTATAACATTTATTGAGTTTTTTTAATATCATTATACTGTCTAATCTCTTTGTAGTCTTTATTTAAGTTGAGAGTAATTTAAGAATATATTTTTTATATTTAATTTACCTTCATACTAAGTTTACATATTTTTTTCAATTAAAATTGCTATTTTATGGTATATTAATATAAATAATTTCTATTGCTTTATAAAATAATATATAGATGTATTTGATATTTTTTAATTTAGTTTGACAAATCATTGGTTTTGTATTATATAAATAATATGGATGTCAAATTGAACATCGCTAAAGATAATTAATTTGACATATCATATAGAAACAACAAAATACAAACAAAAAAGTTATAAAATTTACAAAAATAAGAAGAATACAAATTTATAATCATTTATTGTGATTGAATTAAATAAGAAAAGGAAAATGAAATATATGATAATGTAGAAAAAGAAAACATAAATCAGTTTATAGTAACTATTTGTAGAGTAAAAAAAGGAATCAATCACAAATTTTATGTGAATAATATAGATAAGTAATGCATCCAAACCTAATTATTTTTTATATAAAATATTAATTTATATCTAAGTCTAATTACAAAACATGACTTTTTGCCACATATGATTTCAAAACGTGCGAGCGTGCCAACTAAGCTCAACATATTCTAAAATTATATATAAAAGGATAAATGATCTGGTTAAGAAATAAAACCAAAAAAAATATAATTAAATGGAGGTTAAAAACTTAAAACAGGCGAAAGATCTTATTTAGCTTAATCAGGATCACGAAACCGCTCCATTGTAAGTTACTATTTACTAGCAGTAATGCTAAGGAGCCAACTGTTGGCTCCGTTGCGGAGCCAACAGCCAATGGGACAACTCATGTGGGGCTGTTCCACATTAATGCTAAGGAGCTAACAGTTGATCTATTTTCTAACACAACATCCATATTTTACATAACATCCATTTTACCTCCCCTCCTCTCTTTCGTTAGAATCCTTCCCCGCACCCACTGCTTCTACGAATCTACGGAGCTTGTGGTCTGAAATGGGATTCCTCTCGAACACCAACAATTTACTTGCCCTCGTCGCATCCAAATCCAAATTGAAACGGAAATCCAAATTTAAATCCTTTACAAAATTCAAATCCTTGACAAAGAGATCGAGAAGGGGAACTAGGGTTTTGAAACGGGACTCTACGGCGAATCACTCTTCTTCAGAGGGCAACCACGAAAATCTCATGCTTATGGTGAGGCATGTGGTTGACGGAACCCTCTTTTACTCTGTTATCTCAGCAAATAACAACTCCCTCGAACTAGTACAAGATGACAATCTTCGAGCTAACTTGTCTATGCTCACAGATAGAAACTACAATCCCATATTGACACATCCGATTATGATGTTGTAGCGAGTTGCAACGAATTGATGTTGTTGATATGCGAAGAAATCCCTTCAAGCCGACATGAGCTTCTGTGGAACCCTACAACTTGTGAGCGCAAACCCCTCGATCCTTTTCCTGTTTCTACCCGACATAAAGGGGTCCCCCATTGGCTACAGAATGGAATTTATAGGATGTGGGCTTTCGGCTTCGGGCTTGATCCTGCATCTGGGGACTATAAAGTGGTCAGAACTTGCATGTACGATGATCCCCCTCAATATGTCTTTGCTGAGGTGAGGTCGGTTAGAACTGGTTTGTTGAGGACAATAACTTATCCTCATCGTCCCAGCATCCAACTCTTTGCAGGCTCTTCTATTTACATTAATGGCTTTTGTTATTGGCTAGCTCAGAATCTCGATTTTGATCTTGTTGTTGTTTCATTCGACTTTGCTAGGGAGAAGTTTTACCGTGCTCTTATCCCTATTCCCGAGAGCAATACGCGAGGGTGGCCATGGCGTGTTACTATGGCCGACTATCATCAGTCGCTTGCTATTGTTATTTATGATTTTAAGCGCAATTCTGGTGAAGTGGAGAAGCCTTTCAGTTTCGAGATATGGGTATGGGATGGCCTTGGGCTTAGCTGGTCCTGTTCGTCCACTGTCGACATCCCTGCTCTGCTGCTGATGTTGCATTTGATGCTCCTCTTGTTGGTGCACGGGGCCTCTACAAAAATGATAATCTGCTTGCTCAGAATTCCAAAGGTGAGTTGCTGCTTTACAATTTGCCGACCAGAATGTTTTTGGATTTAGGTATCCGTCATGATAAAAGGCCAGGGCTTATGCGTTTTTTCCCTTTTGTTCCATCCCAATCATCAATATGACAATAAATTAGAATGAGCTCATAGGGCGTATGGTTTCGTGAAGGGCATCTTTCTTAGTTTCTTAGTCTGTGCAGCTCTTCACTGCACAAATCCTTTTTTTTTTTTTTGGTCTTTTGCTTCACCCACAAGTCAGATCCTTGGTTCTTCTCCTGGCCACGACACCGCACAAATTCTCTAAGATTTTCTTCAGATATGAAGCAAAGAATTAAGATCTTTTTGGCGCTGCTCGTTGAGAGTTGAGAATAAGACTTATCTTGCCCATATCTGTAAGTTTATCTATTTGGATTCTCTCGACTCTGTCTCATTTTTTGATGATTTTAGAAATTGTGAGTCGAGGGAAAGGTTCTCTAGTGAGGACCTCTTTTTTGGTTAATTGGTTTAGATAGGATAAGTGGGGCTCATTATGGTTGAAGCTTATATTATTAATTTTTGTGTGGTTGCAGCAAGGTAACCCTAAAGATTTTCATGTCAAGCTCAGAGCTTGAGTTTAGAAATAACTTAGACTGGCTTCTCAGCTTACACTCACATAATCTTATTAGTTTTTAACCATAGTTCTCATCAGTATTAATGTTATGACTCGTGTATCTTTTGTGGCATTATGTTGAGTCTGATAAACACTCTGACACCTTTCCTTTGTCTAGAATATTTTGGTATATAATCTTCTGTATAAGTATTTAATTTTGTAAAATTTGTGTTCTTCACAAAGCAATGTAGGGTCTGCCACAAATTCATTAAGGAGCCAACTAATTAAATGCAAAATACTATTATGCGGGTGGCTGGTGCTTTTATTACACTCAGGACACGTTTGTTAGCCTAGATAGGACAGGATTACGCCTCCAATCCACACCTAATCTCATGTTTGTTTACCACGATTCCGGCCCGCTAGGACAAGGCCGTGTGGGAAACAGAGACTAATTGATCTTGGCTGAGGGGTGAAGATAACTTTGGTCTGCACAGTAAAAAATATGCAAAATTACAAATGTGTCCCTAAAAGTAAAAATTGTTGACCATATTAACTTCTGTTGTTACCAAAATTATCCCTTCCATCCTTTCCCCTTCTCTACACGCGACTACCCCGTTCAGATTTTCTCCATCCCAGATATTTCTTCAGATTTTTTGTTTTTTTCCTTTTTTTTTTTTATTCTTTCCACCCCTAATATTATGTTCATCACCGTCACTGCAGATTGAAGACGCTTTTCTTCTAATTATGTTTTAATTCCCTTTATTTTGCAATTTGTTTTCAAAAGAGCCACGATTTTGGGTTGGATCCAGTGTAAGAACTAGAAGAAGAGCGACGATGGAGATGGTAGATATCGGTCGGGGGTGACGTTTTCGGAAGAGGAGTAGCGACAGCGAGACGAAGAAGGCTAATTTGCTCAATTTTTTTTTTTCGTTCTAGGGTTTCAGAAAGTGTGACTCGAGGTTGCCGAGCCAGAGCAGGGCAGAAGAAGCAAAATCAACGAGAGGTCAGTTTTCATTAAAAAATTCCTAGCTTTGTGGATTATGTTGGAATTGGGACTTTTGCGTTTTTCGATTATTCTACTAGAAAACTTCTTGGCTTTGCACTTGTAATTTTCAGGGGTTTCCTTCGGAATGTAAACTAAAATGGTTTAATTATTTCAAGAATTTCTGTGTGGTGTTTCTAGGTTTATTTGTTTCTATATCGTAAGCTCAAATAAGGAGAAAATGAAGAGTGTGGAGGTTGTTGACTTGTGTGTGTGTGTGTGTATTTTATTAGGTAAATTGAATTCTAATCATTTGTGGATTTTGAAGATAGTTTCAGGGAATGTATGTTCTTATCCAGTTTCTGGAGACATGCAAAGTTATGTTTTTGTTAGTCCATTGACGCAAGATTTTTGCTCGTTGCGACAGAGATGGATACATATGAAAGCCCAGAGATCATACGGAGATCCACCAGTTCGCCCTCTTACACCTCCCTGGCGGATCCGCCTTCGCCGTCTATCAATGACCTTGTTTTTCCCTGTGAGTTCGTAAGCCTTGAGGATGTAATCAACTACAATCCGAGAATATTGTTCAAGGCACATGTGTTTTCTTTTAGGCTTCTGGGATTAGAGGGTATGCGGCTTTTGGAGCAAAGTGTTGTTGGCACGTTGTCTTGCAGCAACAACGTAGTTTTTCCTTAAAAGGCACAGGAAAAGGATCCCAAGTTTTTATTGCTGGAATCGAAGTTCAATTTCCAAGGGATCTGGAGTCGAAACGAAAGCTGCATAGGCAGATCAATTTAAGAACTTCAAGAGAATGTCAAAAATGATGCCGGAGAGGGTACTGACCATTTTGAAAAAGGGTGAGAATTTCAAGAGGTTTGGTCAGGGAGATCCATCCCTCAATCCCACAACTCGGCTTAACAAATCTGCAGCCTTCTGGAACTACGAATATGCGAAACATATCTATCCCATAAGTTTCAAAATCACCATGGGCAATTTTTTCCTGTTCGCGCTATTGAGTTCTACGTGAACGAAATCCGTCATCTCAGTGAGTATCTGTCAACACTGAGATGACGGATTTCGTTCACGTAGAACTCAATAGCGAACAGGAAAAAATTGCCCATGGTGATTTTGAAACTTATGGGATAGATATATTTCGCAGATTTGTTAAGCCGAGTTGTGGGATTGAGGGATGGATCTCCCAAAGATTTTGCGTCTGGCCAAAACCTCTTGAAGTTCACTCGTATCCACCCCACCCTTTTTCAAAATGGTCAGTATCCTCTCCGGCGTCATTTTTGTCATCCTCTTGAAGTTCTTAAATTGACCTGCATTTAAATGCAGCTTTCGTCGACCCCAGATCCCTTGGAAACTGAACTTCGATTCCATCAATAAAAACTTGGGATCCTTTTCCTGGAAAAGCTACGTTGTTGCTGCAAGACAACGTGCCACCAGCACTTTGCGTTCGTGTACTGTAGTTGCATAACTTGCTACAGTCCGAGAATATTGTTCGAGGAAAAGGTTCAATAAAGGACCCTGACAAGGTATGTGGTCTAATGTGATGTCTAATTACAAAATAAGTACACATTTTGTTCATGGATGCATAGGTTAAATATGCTATAATAGTTGTTTGATTAATGATATATGTTGAGCATTTTCTCCATTACTGCTCCTGATAACAGGAAGAGAAGTTACGTGGACGTCCAGACTATGAAACGTGCAAAAACAGGACGATGAGTTGCAACATACTTTCACATGTCATTATATGACATCTAGGCGAACAGGATATCGTGGTTGATACGTGATTGGTTTTCTTTGCTCCTAGTTTCTCAAATGGAATATAGAACAGGAAGGTGGGAGAAGACCAAAAACAAAATGAAGTTTCTTAAATTGTTGATCTTAAAGTGGGCTGTGGCTATGTTTGTTTTTGTAACATTATTCATTGAATTGATTCTTGTGTTACTGTGCAATGGTTATTGTTATTGGTACTGAGTACCTTCAAGAACTCACAGATTTTGTAAGCAATTTGTGACAACAAACGACTATTTTAAACGTGATTTTGGGACACTTAAAGCCTCAGCAAGGTCTAATGTTTTGTTAAAACAATCAGTTGTGTGCAGGGAAACATTGTTGGCGGACAGAACTATGATGTCTCTAGTTATTTAATTTTTCCTGCATTGAGTTGTGGCTATGTATAATACTATAATGTCATAAATGTTTCCATCTACTTCATTGTGATTGCCTTGTACTATATAATATTATTTGGGTAGGATTATTCGACTTTGACGGTTATTTCTGCTATGCATTGTATAATAATAAGATCCTTGAATAAGATTTCTTAATTTTTGCATTGAGTTGTTTTCTGCATTGTGAAAAGATTGAGTTGTTTTCTGCATTGCTGGAGATTGAGTTGTTTTCTGCATTGTGAAAAGATAAGATTTCTTAATTTCTTGAATAATAATAAGGTCCTTGATGTATGAAAATATATGATTTCTTAATCTCAAGGTGTTGGTTCATATAAACCTCAATTTCAATCAGAGAAGTACAAAACGAAAAAATAAAAATAAAAAAAAAAACATAAGCAAAAAAATGTAACTTAAACACATAAAAAAAGACAAAAAAGTGTCATGGATTTTAATGTATTTTAAATTGAGGACATTTTGGTAATTCATAATTTTTATCATATATCTTATTTAGGGAAACAAATGTGGAACACATAAATTAACATAATTCTATCTTGGACCAATCTTTCTTAACAAACATAGATGACACATAATCTTAACAGTACAAAAATTGTCTAATCTGGTCTAACTTAACAAACGTGCTCTCAGAAGCTATAATGCATTTTGGCTTTGCTTATAGTAAAAGTGATATCAACTATCAAGTTTCTTTCCAGTGTACGGTATGTCTTGCTGATCAATTGTGGTAGTGCCATTTTTCTCTTTTTGTCCTCACGCATTGAGTTTGAGGTTTGTATTTCAGATATCCTACAGGTCATTTTTTACTTTAACACATTACTTTTTCTCCATGTTTTAGCTTTGAATTTTATTTGTGGTTAAGATGAAAATCACTAAGCATAAAGACCTAGAATGAAGTGTCACTAAGCATAAAGACCTAGAATGAAGAGGATAACAAAAGATGTAGAATTAATTGGTCCAATGAATTAATATACCTCCTTTATGTTCTTTATATCGAACATGCCAAAATGAGTAAGGGAAAAAGTGGATCTGTTTTTGGTTAGAGATTGGCGTGAACAAGGTGGAATTTGACATTAAAAAAAGAACCAACTTATACTAAATAAATTAAAAAAAAAAAAAAAACAAACAAACAAACAACGATAATAATAATATGAGAATTGTTTGAATATAAATCTCTCTAAATAAATTATATAACTCCTGGTGCATATCACATATTTCATCTACTAATAGTCTAATACAAGAATATATGAGTTCAATATTGAATGATTCTCTAATTATGAATCTGTTACCATGCCCACCATTATATTCTCACAGAAAGTGAGAAAACAATGGACCTGAAATTTACAGATATATCATATAACAAGAACAAACAATGAATATATATCAAAGTCATAAATTCATACTTCTTTTTTACTATAAAGAACAGTAAATTCAACCCCCCCAACCACAAAAAAATATAAAATAAAAAAAGAATATATATCAAGCGAGATACAAAAAACCTCACAACCCTGTAAGACAACACACACTATCACTTCCAAAAGATCACTTTACAACTCCAATTCTATAACCATTGTAACTGTATATGCACTCAACATCTGTGTACCCAAAAAACAATGAGACCTGATCCCTTCAGGTCCAATATCACTATATTTCCAAAATAAAGAATGAAGTACCAAATCAACTTTAATAACTTTAACTGACAAAAGCGAAACTAATCCAACAGTCAATCGGGACGCGAAAATGTGTACTCCTTCGCTTCACAAGCAAAACCAGAAACGAATGACAAAAAGAATAAGAACCTGCGAAATATTAATAGATCCATGTCATCAGTGAAGGCAGCAATGCCTGTAATATAATAGCCAATAATTATCTACCTATCAATCAATCAATCAACAAGCCGTTAAAATCCCACTAAGTGTGGTCGGCTATATAGATCACAAGAATTACCTACCTAACAAAAAAATTTATGAATAGGATTAGTTTACTAGTTTGTACAAAGGTAATCAAAATCAATTATCTAGCATATTTGGGTCTAATATACATGCATTTATTAAGATATAAGTATTGGATGAACAACACAAATGGTATTATGAGGACATGGCGACCAGTTATACTTTCTGAAAAAAAATGTATGCTTACATTGTAAAATGTCATACTTTTCATACTGTTTGAAAAGTTGTTTCATTGTTTGAAACATGGCATCTCATTATGAAAGTATGCATGTTTGATGGAAAAATATGTTCTCCTAACAGTTATACGGCAACCCTACCACCAGCGCAAAGGAGCAAAACGCATACATTTAGGTATCAATGTGCATAGCCATGTAGATCGAACCAAACCTCCAATTTAAAAATTTTCACCTTAGTCAACAACTTCAAGCCCAGTCTCTCACAAGTCATTTGCCAAAAGAGCATAAATTATAAAGAGACACAGCAAAGTAATAAAACTTCCTTTTACACAAATTTGTTTTTACCAAAACGAATGTTATCCTTCCATTCTATAGCCAGAGTCACCATGCGGTAATCCATTAGGTGTGGAAAATTCTAAAGCAGAACCCAAAAAACCGACCAAACCGAAAAGGACCAACAACGATAAATCTAAACTAAGATGAACCGATTTTTCAGTAACAAAAGGTCCATAACCAATCCACTTTCGGCATGATATCGGTTTTGTTTTCTGAAGGTTCGGTAATAACCGAATCTATGTTTCAAAAGGAAAAGGAAAATGATCCACTTTTGGCACGGTATTGGTTTGTTTTCTGAAGGTTCAGTAATAACCGAATCTATGTTTCAAAATGCAGAAGAAATATAAATATTCTAATTCCTAATTGTAAATCAATTGATTCTACCTGAACAAAGAACAAATAAATGTCTCCCTCTCTCTCTGAATTCAAATCGATGGCGCTCTATGGCTCTAGTTCTATTCAAAACCAAATGCCTCCGACAGGAAATTTCCAAACTATTTGTGTTGTGTCAGAAAGTTGATTCTGAGAGTTCTGAGTTTGTACTTTTTCTTAATTCTCTGAATACAAATATGCCTCTGATGGGTGAAATTATATGGGCATTGTTTGACTTATATCTAGTTGGAAGATGGACGTTGTATGAGCTGTCATGGGAGCTAACTTATGGTTCAAATTCGGAGCTCTGTGTTATTTAAGAAAGACAATGTATGGTCCTCCATTTTGGAAAAACTACATTAATATAGCAAAAACTTATGTACTGAACCATCTTTTGGCTATGGGAAGTTCCGTAACCAACCATTAAATCCGTTTGATATCCGTATTGTGATGTGATAATATCAAATGATCCTGTTCGTTAGTTAATGTGTATTTTGTTTTATTTATCGAACCCACCCCTAGTAAAGTCCAAGCATATAAACTTACATGGTTCAATATAAATGAATTAGAACGAAATCCCTTTACAATGAACCAGCAGTAAAGAGCAGCATGAGCAACCATAATACAGATAGAGCAGCAAGTTCCCAGCAATTAGATAGTGTCATAAAACAAAAGTGAAAAAAAGGGTTAGCAGCATCAATTTACCTTAAATAATCTGGCCTGGAGGCAAACTAACCACCAGAGAATTCTGATGCTTTTTGCCTCCCTTTTTCGAAACCACACCACTACTGAGCTAGACGTTCCAAAACAGAATGAAGTTTTGGGGAACGCCTTCTGAACAACGGCTCGAGGCGGGAAGATGACACACCAGCTCGCCACCTGTCGGCATCATACATCTCGCTCCACGCCTGTACTATCTCATCCACTTTGAACCCTAAACAACATCAACAAACCAAAACANAAACTCAATCAATCCACAAATGCAGCCCATATCAACCATACCTTCTAAAGCAGTCTCGTTCGAGCAATGGTTCTTGATCATAACAGCAATATCCGTCGACGAGGCCCCTGCAAGCTCGAATTTCTCGATCGCAACCTCCAAACACTCCTCCCAGCTCGGCAGGCTCAACTTGTACTCCACGACCGACCTCTCATACAGAATCGAGCCCCAAAGGAAGTAAATCTGACAACTCATGCTCGCGGCCCGCTCAGCCGGCACATCCCTGAACAGCCCATCGAGCCCGAATTTGCGCAGCTCCTCTCTCTCCTTCTCGTGCTTCAAGAGCCCGTTCAGACGCTGTTCCTCCATCTCTTCCCACACTTGCATCCCTTTCTCCATGCTGTCCTCAGCTTTGTTGTACAGCTCCAGCACCTGAGCAGAGGGCCCGATTTCCAACCCCGATTTGCTCCCGACCATGTAGCTCCAGGAAAGCTTCGCCTGCTCAAACTGCTGAAGCCCGAGCGCGAGTAGCCCCTCGTAAAAATCAGGCTTCACTGTAAGGGCCTCCTTGTACTTCGAGCCCGCGTGACTGTACTCCACCTGGGCCCATTTGTAAGCATCTTTCGCTAAACCTAATGCAGACTCAGGGAAGGAATCCTCCGATACAGCGGCCCGTTTTCTCGCCTTGGACAGGTGGACATTCCCCCAGTTGAACAGGGCTAAAGCAGTCATTTCCTGGAACCTGGCTGCCGCAAGATCAAACAGCTCCTGAGCATCTTCGCTCGTCACAGTCTCCTCCATTGCCTCTGAGTATAACTTCATTCCAATCTCGTGAAGGTCCAGGTAGGAATCGGATTCAAATCCGACATGATTCTTGAACATTTTAGCGAACTGGACGATCCAGTCCTCGACGCAGGTTGAGCTCGACCCTTTCTCCGTATTAACATTCCCATTCTCTTCACGAGGTTTCTCCTCAAGCCCAGTCCCCTCATAGAGAGGTTCTTTATCGGGACTGACCTCCGCAATGTAGAGCCTCAGAAAGCCCTGATTATTGCCAGCCAAACCCTCGGCTACCCTAAGCTCATTATTGGTGGTGATGGTGACCAGATCTCCCTCTTGATCCTTGTACTTGACGAGCACGCCCTTGAGGCCCGGGAATCTATCCACCACAATGTCCCTCACGAGTCTCACGCTGCAGTTCACAGGGATCTGGGCCGACCTAATGTCCTCTCCGTTGACCAACTTGACCGATTTCAAGACAGGTTTTTCCTCCTTCACACTTATTTTCTCCGCCACCACTGCCTTCTTTACCTCGTCCACATCCACGCTCTTCTCCTCAGGCTCCCCCACACTTTTCCGGTCAGACTTGACGTTTTTCCTCTTTTTCCCCTTCTCCTTGACCACCTTGAGAGGAATGGAGGCATTTGGCTCCACTTGATTCGTTTGCGGGTCGATTTCCTTGTCCTCGACCCGGACCCCATTCTTCTCCATGGCATCCTTCACGAGCTCGGCAATCTCAAGGGCGACCATGTTGTTGGGCTCCATGGCCAGCACACTGTTGACATCCCTGTAGGCCGGCTGGAGCTGGTTCAGGGCCAAGTAGCAGCGGGCCCGCCTCATAAGGGCCTTGCTGTACTTCGGGGCCTTCTCAAGGGCCAGGTTGCACTCGCTCACGGCCCGTGGGTACTCGGCCAGGCCCATTTGCATGTAGCAGGCAGCCATGTTTGTACGGAGGTAGGCCACGTCCACGTGGTTGGGGGACAGAAGCTTGAGGGCCTTTTCGTACTTGAGCAGGGCGCCATCGTGGTCTCGCCTCTGGAATAGTTTGTTGCCCTCCTCTTTCAGCTCATGGGATAAGGCGGCGAAAATGCTGGCATCCTCGTCGAAGGCTGCCTTTGTCGTGGCCTTGCCTGGCTTCGCGTGCCCGTCGGGGTTGAGTTTGGATCCGATCTGAGCCCTCTTCCTCGTGGGGGCCTTCCCCATGTTCTCACGCCCGACGATAATCGCAAATGAGAACTCGTTCCAAGATTCAAACTCTTGAGCAAACTCAAAAAATTAGAAAATACGATTCAATTAAAAAAACAGGGAACTCGCGAAAATGATCGACAGATTGCTTTCGGAAAACGAATCGAATCAATTGGAAGACGAACCATTTCCAAATTAATACCAGAAAGTAGATCTTTTTCGTGGATCTATTTGAGTTTCCGATTGAAATCCACCCATTGGAAACTTCAGATTGAAAGGTCAAAAGCAGATATACGCATACCTTGGACAGAGCTATCTGGCTGCTCGTCAAACCGAGATCAATTACAGGTGATGATTACTGGCGAGCTGAGCAACCTGGATTAATGATTGTCGGAACGTATTCGTATAAGATGTGTACGGAAATTTAATGGCGCCCCAAAATTTGTGCCTCTGAGGAAGACGGGGTCTTTAATGGACTGCAAATTAATTAAAAGAACGGACGAAAAGAATTTTATTGGGGGAACAAAGAGAAGGAATGTCTGCACGGACAAATGAATAAAATAAAAATTAATACAATGGCGAGGGTTTCTAATTTTAATTCGGGCGATGTGACCTTGGGCTATATTCACAATTGTTTTTTTGGTTTGACTCTGTTGGTTTAACTCGAAAATATAATAATTTTTATAATTAACAAATTTAGTGCAAGCTTGCCTCAAACTCGAGCTTGGAGTATTATTCACCTAATTTATCTAATACTGTGAAGGTAGCCCTCGGATTTTGTTAGAAAAATGACTGATGAAATAATTACTTATGAACTAGTGATATTTTGTATGATATTAGACTGTTGTGATTGCATTTCTTGATTCTTGATACTGTAAATTGACACTATTTGTTAGGACTCAAAACTCTATTCTCTATTAAGCCCAACATACAAGCACAAATGGTGTTTCAAACTAAAATCAATTGGCAATAGAAAGAGTAGTCCACCAAGCTTATATATTGACTTGGAAATTCTTAATCTTTCGATGTGGGATTGAGTTTGCACACCCAATAAAAAATTGTTAGATATTAATTAATCTTATGTCCCACATCGAAGACCAAAGATGTGTAGGATCTTTTTAGTATAAATAGGTCCCTTGCCTTTGGGTTACAATTGCACCTTATTTTATTCTCTCCTCTCTTAGAAGGAAATCCTTAATTAAGGAAATCCTAATTTGTGAATTATTTAACCCTAGTTGTATTTTGTTGGTGAGTTTAGTAAATTTGGCGTTGCGGTTGGCGGTGCCCAGAGACGTAGGCAATTTGGTCGAACTCCGTTATTAATTTTTGTATTCTTTTTCTTTCTCGTCTTTTATTTATTTGTGTGGCTTATTTTCGTTTGGAGTAGTGCTTGCCATATTTGTTGGAGGGGTAGTTTTGTCCGCTGCACTTGGTGTTCTACCCCCAACAAGTGGTATCAGAGCTGAAGGTTCGCTCTAGGCTTATTCGGAGAGGCGAGCACTACATTCGAGTTCGAGATGTCCAAGGAGGTCAAGGGCGCATCATCCTCTGCATTCATTCCGGCAAGGACGGTGATGTCGAACGTTAGACTCCCGGTGGCAATCTTCGATGGGACCGGGCATTTCGGCATGTGGCAAGGCGAGGTGCTGGATTGTCTATTTCATCAAGGCATCGACATTGCAATTGAAGAAGAGAAGTCAACCGACGTTGAAGAGAAGGACTGAAAGAATATCAACCATTTAGCATGTGGAACAATCTGTTCATGTTTGTCGAGAGAGCAGAAGTACGCGTTAAAGAATGAGAACTCTGCTCACACTCTGTTGAAGGATTTGGAGGATAAGTTTCTGAAGAAAAGCGGCCAGAATAAACTCCTCATGAAGAAGCAATTGTTCCGATTTGAGCGGCGGCATGGCACATCGATGAATGACCACGTCACTGCATTCAATCAGTTGGTTGCAGATTTGTTGAACTTGGACGTCACATTCAGTGATGAAGATTTGGCTCTAATGTTGTTATCATCACTTCCGGATGACTTCGAGCACTTGGAGACTACACTGCTCCATGGGAAGGACGATGTAACTCTTGCAGTAGTCAGTTTTGCTCTGTATAACTACGAGTTGAGGAAGAAGAACAAACAAGAGACGAAGAATGCAGCAGCAGAAGATGAAGCGTTGGTTGCAAGAGGTCGGTCAAAGAGCCAAAAGAAGAATGGACGAGAAAGATCACTTTTGAAGGCCAAGCTTGAAAAAGACGAGTGTGCTTTCTGCCATGAGAAGGGACACTGGAAGAAAGATTGTCCTAAGTTGAAGAAAAAGGGAAAATCTTCTCAAGATGCATATGTTGCCGAGGGTGGAAGTGAAGACTCAGAATTCTCACTTGTGGTTCCACCTTCATCATCTCATCCAGACGAATGGATTTTGGATTCAGGATGCACCTACCATATGTCTCCCATAAGGGAGTGGTTCTTCGATTTTCAGGAGATCAATGGATGGGTTGTCTATATGGGTAATGATAATGCTTGTAAGAAAACCGGGATAGGTTCAATCCGTCTGAAAAATCGAGATGGATACACCAGAGTTTTGATGGATGTTCGGTACGTGCCGAGTTTGAAGAAAAACCTTATCTCATTGGGAGTCTTGGAATCCAAAGGCTTGGTAGTGACTTTGCGAGATGGAGTTATGAAGGCTACATCCGGCTCGCTCGTAGGGATGAAAGGCATCAGGAAGAATAATTTGTATTACTATGAAGGTAATACAGTCGTTGGGACAGCAACAGTAGCAGATTCCACCAACAAGGAGTCTGAAGCAGTTAAGCTATGGCATATGCGTTGGGACATGCTGGTGAAAAATCCTTGCAAACATTAGCAAAACAAGGATTGTTGAAAGATGTCAAAGTGTGCAAATTAAACTTTTGTGAGCATTGTGTTTTGGGAAAGAAGAAGAGAGTGAAATTTGGAACAACTATCCATAACACAGAAGGTGTCTTGGATTATGTTCATTCGGATGTTTGGGGACCTTCTAAGACCCCATCATTAGGGGAAAGACGCTATTTCGTTACTTTCATTGACGACTTTTCCAGATGTGTTTGGGTGTACACTATGAAGACGAAGGATGAAGTGTTTGGTGTCTTCATTACATGGAACACAAATTGAGAATCAGACTGAAAGGAAGATCAAAGTCCTACGAACGGACAATGATGGAGAATATACAAACGGTCCATTTCAAGAAGTTTGCCATAAAAATGGCATTCTTAGGCACTTCATCGTTAGACGGACACCACAACAAAATGGGGTGGCAGAGCGCATGAATCGAACATTGGTGGAGAAAGTTCGATGTATGTTGTCCAATGCTGGTTTGGACAAGGAGTACTGGGCTGAGGCTGTAACATTCGCGCAACACCTCATAAATCGATTGCCGTTATCTGCAAAAGATGGTAAAGCACCGTTGGAGGTATGGTCGGGAAAACCTGTTGCTGACTATGGATCTTTACATGTCTTTGGGTGTCCTACGTACTATCATGTGAAGGATTCAAAATTAGATCCAAGAGCGAGAAAGGCTTTGTTCATGGGAATCACAATTGGCGTGAAGGGATATCGTCTTTTGTGTCTTGAGACGAATAAAACTATGTTTAGCAGGGATGTTACGTTTGATGAACAAGGTATGATAAAGATGCCGCAAACCCAACAGGTGGAGTTGACACCAAAGCAGGTGGAGATAGATGCGATGACGAGACGACCAACTATGGTCGACGAACCAATATCAAAGGATTCATCGGATGATGAAATTCAGACTCAAGAATCATTAGAGTTACCCATTGCATTGAGAAAGCCCAGACGAGAGATTCAACAACCTGCTCGATTGGCGGATATGGTGGCTTATGCACTTCCAATTGTTGATGATGACATACCTTTCACTTTTCAAGATGCAATTCGAAGTTTATAAAATGAGAAGTGGAAAAGGGCTATGGAGGAAGAAATATTGTCTCTTAAAAAGAATCAAACTTGGAAGGTGACGCAACTACCAAAAGGCAAAAGGGCGATAGGATACAAATGGGAATTTGCAAAGAAAGATTGATTTCCTCATAAGAATGATGTGCGCTACAAGGCAAGATTGGTGGCTAAAGGCTACGCTAAGAAGAGAGTTGATTATAATGAAGTGTTTTCTCCAGTTGTTAAGCACTCTTCCATTAGAATTTTGTTGGCCTTAGCAGCACAGTTGGATTTAGAGCTAGCTCAACTTGACGTGAAGACGGCGTTCTTACAATGAGATTTAGATTATGAAATCTATATGACTCAGCCAGAAGGATTCAAAATTCTTGAAAAAGAGAATTGGGTCTGTAAGTTGAACAAATCGTTGTACGGACTGAAGCAATCTCCGAGACAGTGGTACAAACGGTTTGATAAGTTTATGATTGGGCAGAAGTAGACGCGAAGCAGACATGATCATTGTGTGTATTTATGCAAGCTGCAAGATGGATCTTTCATTTACTTACTCTTGTATGTGGATGACATGTTGGTTGCATCAAAGAGCCAAGTGGAGATTGATCATTTGAAGGCTCAGTTGAATCAAGAGTTTGAGATGAAAGACTTGGGGGAAGCTAAGAAAATTCTCGGGATGGAGATAAGTAGGGACAGAAGGATAGGCAAGCTTTGTTTGACTCAGAAGCAATATCTGAATAAGGTACTACAGTGTTTCAGCATAAAAGATGAGACGAAGCCTGTAAGTACACCATTTGCCCCTCATATAGAGTTGAGTGCCCACCTATCGCCAAATTTTGATGAAGAACAAAAATGCATGGATAGAGTCCCATATGAAAATGTAGTTGACAGCTTGATATATGCGATGGTGTGTACAAGGCCCGACATTTCACAAGCAGTTGGTGTTGTTAGCAGGTATATGCATGACCCTAGTAAAGGTCATTGGCAAGCTGTGAAATTGATTCTACGGTACATTCATAATATTGTAGACGTTGGATTAGTTTATGAGCAGGATGAATTTGGTCAGTGTGTAGTTGGATATTGTGATTCCAACTACGCAGGCGATTTGGATAAGCGAAGATCAACGACTGGATATTTGTTCACTTTCGCTAAAGCTCCAGTCAGTTTGAAGTCTACCTTACAGTCAACAGTTGCTTGAAGACTTGGGAGTTGGTCAAAAGCACATCTTAGTGCATTGTGATAGTCAAAACACTATTCACGCAGCGACAAATAAATTATTTCATGCAAAAACGAAGCATATTGATGTTCGCTATCACTTTGTGCGGGAGATTCTAGAAGATGGAACCGTAGTGCTGAAGAAGATCAAGACGACGGAGAATCCTGCAGATATGATGACCAAGATAGTGACAGCAGTCAAGTTTGAACATTGTTTAAACTTGACCAACATTCTGCATATTTGAGTTGGCGCCGAGAGGCGCATTTGGAGGCACCGCCAGCAGTTGATTTGGATTGAAGAGTCGAAGTGGGAGCAAAATTAGTCAAGGTGGAGAATTGTTAGATATTGATTAATGTTATGTTCCACATCGAATATGTACCAAAGATGTGTAGGATCTTTTTAGTATA